ACCGACACGGCGGTGCCGGCTCACTTCGGACCATTCTGGCAGATCAGGCATGCCCACTCCAAACTTGAAGCAGAACGGAAAAGCGACGCCGAAGAACCACGGAACGAACTGCCTCATCATGGCCGTGCCTGGAGACACCACCAGGCGCAACCGCATCTTTTCCATCCACGTCCCCCGTCCGTTCACGTCCATGAGCACCAGGTTGTGCCGCTGCGACGCTTCTCCGAGCCTCGCGATTTCCGACGCTCCTTTGCATGTGCATCGTACGCGGCCATTGTCTTGGCCGTTCAATAGACTGGTAGCCATCGCGACAAAATGATCCCGCCATGCTTCGCACGCGAACAGAACTCTCGCACGTTTTTCTGCACGCGGGGTTTCGCCACCGCCACCATGCCCGTCCGTGCCTTCTTCATGAGCGCCGCGCGTCATGTGCTGCAAAGCTGCTTCCGTCGTAGCGTTTTCATCTCCCTAGTTGAACGGTGATCTCTCCATGACCACCATATTCGGAATTCTTCGATCCATGTCGTCACAAGCGTCTTGCACCGTCGCCTGCTTCGCATCCGATGGCGTCGCATTCTTTTGCACCATGATCTTATCCAAATGATTGTCATACGGTAGCAACCGCACGAGTTCGGGCGGGGCGCCATTCTCCGGAAGTTGCTCGGCGCGAGCATCTACTGCTGCAGCGTCCACGTGCATGTACGCCCTATGCCCGTTAGCGATCATCTCCTTGATGTGGTGCTTCGCCACATCCCGCCGCACGGTGGCTTGATGAATGAATGTCGGCAAATTATCCTTTGACGTCGCGTCACTCACTGCATCTGCCGCTGCTGCCACCCCCACGGCAACTGAAGCTGAGGCTGCAATTGTTTTGTTGGGCGCTTCCTTTCCGGAGGACTCGGAGTCTTCGGGGCCCTTGGTAAGCCCTGGGCCTTGAGGTCAACTGGCGGCGGCGCGGGTGGCGCTGGCACAGGCACTGGTGGCAACGCCTCTGCTCGCCCGCCACGTTGCGCATTTGGCAGAACCCAAGTTGACGTTGGCCGCGCCAGCACTGGGGGTGGCGGCACTGGGGGCGCTGGCGGAAACTGCGGAACTGCCCAGTGCAGCTCACCGCACGGCTGCCCTAACTGTGGTTGTTGTGGCGGGTGCTGCGGGAATGTTGGCTGCAACTCCACAATCCGCCGCGCTGATTGTAGTTCTGGTGGTGGCGGATGCAGCGGGGGCTTCGGCTGCCGCTGATCGTGCGGGCACGCTTTCTCTGGTCGAGGTGCCTGTTGTCTCCGAGGCGATGGCTGCACCGATGGTGGCCTGTGGCAAGGCGCTCTCCTTGCTCGTATCGGCTGTCGCTGCGGAGCCACTGACTGGGGTTGGGGTGTCGGCTGCTGCGCAAGCGCTAGCTGTGGCTCCGAGCGCGGCTGTGGCGTCGCTGTCGGTGGCTGCGCCGCGCGAGTGTTCCCATCCGCTGCAGACAACGTCCACGAGCCCCAGGTCTCATCATCATCTCATCATCGGCGGCAGCAGCATGCGGCGGGGGCGCCTGCACATCGGCAACGGCTGCCGAAGCCGACGCCGACGCGGGGCCCAGCGCCGCCTCATCACCCATGCGTCGCTACTCCCGCGGGGGCCAAAAAAAAGCGCTCCTCATGGGCTGCGCAGTGGAGCCACAACGGTTTCGGCATTGGGGAGTTCTGAAGGAGGACCTGCGTCGGGCACGGCATCGTGACCCCTCAACGCTCGTCGCGCAGTAGATAAAAGAAAAACCGCACGTGTTTTTACTGGTGTCGCAGAGTCCCCCGCCGATCGCTGAGACCTCCGCACGCTGCGAAATCATTCTCGCCCCCCCCCCCGGACCCATGGGGGGAGATCACTCTCCAACGCAGGCCGCGAGACGCGATTATCCTGGCGCAACCTTCGAGTGGACTGCGGGGGCGAACCTGCCATCGGTCGTTAAAGCCAGCGCAACACTGGAACAATCCTGAACGGCCGTTGGGGCGTGGACTTCTTTTGGGATTGATCCTCACCCTGTCCACACTCTCCCACGGGCCTCCAGAGATACAGCCTCCCAGGAGGCACTCGCGTTGGCGGGGAAAAACCGCGCGTGGATTTTTACTAGCCAGCACATGAGTCCGTGCACGCGTGGGCCTCGCCGCCGCCCATCGGCGAAGTGCGATGTTGACCTGCGCGGCAAGACGTTGCACTATATGTCCGACAAGGATGCAATCAGGAAGCACACGAGGGGGACGCCCATACGTGTTCCTGCGATGTGGGGGGGCGCCCCTGTATCACCTGGATGTACAACAGTGACGCTGCACACGCAAAAAATGGAAATCTGCTCGTGGGGCGGCAACAGCCACCAGCCGCTGGCCGGACGCCTGCCACCACTGACGCGCTACAAGAACCCCTCACTAATCGTTATGCCGTCGCCATCGGCCGCCCCCCCCCCCCCCCCCCTGACCCATGCAAGAAGATCACTCTCCAACGCGTGCCGCGAGGCGCGATTATCCTGGCGCAACCTTGGAGTGGACTGCGGGGGCGACCCTGCCATCGGCATTTGAAGCCACAGCAACACTGGAACAAACTGCAAGAAGCACATGGTTTTCCTGAGGCGCGGGAAAGGGGGCCTCGTTGCCAAAGGAGCAGCCGCCGCGCGAAACGCGCCCTTCCTCGCGCCCTCGGAACAGCCGCATGCTAAACACATTGCCAACCCAGACCGCAAGACACGATTCTCGTGGAGCAACTTAGGATAGATTGCGGAAAAGTTTAAAGCTGCTGGCATCGAAACTTCATGTCACAGTGACACCCGAGCATCCTAACGAAACTCGCATGAACGGTCTTGTCGGAGGAAGCCCTGGCTGCCAAAGGATCTCGCGCTGAACGAGCGTGACCATCCTCAAGCCCCTACCACGACCGCATAAAGAATGCACACTCACCACCAGACCGCAAAGCGCGATTATCCTCACACGACCATTGGATTTGGACTTTTTGCTTGATCTGGTCTCGATCTGTCCAAAGCCTCCAACGCGCCTCCGGGGATGAAACCCTCCAAGAGGCACCACCGCTGGTCCAGAGGACCAAAAAAATGGCGTCAAAACCTCCACCCTGCGCGGTGGGACGCCCGCACGCTGCGAGATCCTCCTCGCAGGGCTTTCGTCGGAGTCCTCCTACTATGTTGCGGCTCAAAGGAACAGAATCTGCATCACGAATCGCTCCTCCTTTTCTGAACCACCTCATGCCTCCTCCTTTCCCCATACCCGCGTCGCAGCAGCTCAACTCGCCGTTGTTGATTCCGTACACGCGTGAGCCTCGCCGCAATGCGTCAGCGACGTCCGATCCGTACCTGTGCTTCAAAGACGTTGCACAGTATCTTCGGGGAAAACACCCACGAGCCAGCAGGTGAGGGGGACGCCCCTGCGTATGTTGCACACATATGTATACATATACTTTCGTTGCGGGGGGACGCCCCTGTATAATCTGGCTTATATCTGTACATGCCCGGCACACGCAAAAACTAATTGCGATCTGCTCGTGACCGCTGTCGCTGGCGCCTCATCATCATCCGCTGTCGCTGGCGCCGAATGAATACACCACGAGCCAATTCTTGAGCCCAAAGACACGCTGTCGAATGGCACCGCGCAGTGCCACCTCTGTGCACGCATGCCTGCCCATGTTATGTACGCGTGTGTGTACAATATACGATTGCATGTTCTTTATAAATATACATATGTTTATGTCTGTATATATATACGATCATTAGTACATACAAACGTACAAAGTTGCTGAGGGTGGACCTGATGCGAGGCCAGAGCAAGCGGCGGCAATTTGGCGCGGCGACATGGGGGGCCAGGTTGTTAATGCTGCACGACCCCCCCCACACCCAAGGCCTTCCCAGATATCCCAAGGGGTCGGCGGTGTGGCGTAAGCCCATGAATCTCAACCGACAGCCCGCCATGAATGTAATGGTGCACGCGTGTGAAACGAATGTGCCCGGCACTAGGCGACAGCGCAATATTGAAAACGACTCGCCATCCATCTTTGGAACTGCTGCAACTTTCAAGCTGCATGATCGTAAGCGTTGAGGAAGTATGCGGCGAAACGTCCGGCCCGCCCTACCGACGTCTTGGGGTGCGACAGGGAGGAGATATCTATACGGAGGCAGGATGGAGGGAGGGGGGGGGAGAGGGAGCGGGAATTGGTGGAGGAGGCCGATGAGGCGAAGCGGGAATCAAAGAAGGAGGACGGGGGAGGGCGAGGAGGATGAGGGAGAGCGAGGAGGTGGAGAGAGGCTCGACAAAGAGGAGCAACAGCACAAGGAGAGGGGGGGTGGCTGCAGAAGAAAAGTCCAAAGTCGGCTCGTGGAGCCGAGCCCTTGGGCCTTGTCCACCCAGACCACGCGGCTGGCGACAAAGACTGCTACTGTTCTCCCTCATCCCACCCTTCCCCCATCTTCCTCTGGATGTCTCCAGAGGTATCATGGACGTCTCTGGAAGTTCTCGGAGATCCCCAGAGGTAGCTGGACGCCTCCAGATGACTCCGAAGCCAAAGAATACGCCAAGGGCGTCCAAAGACCTTGGTTCTCGAGTATCTTTCTCCACCTCCTCATCCTCCCTTATCACCACGACATCATAATCAACATCGTCATCATCATCACCACCATATCAGCCTCGTCATCCCCATCCTCATCCTCATCCTCACCCTCCTCCTCCTCCTTCTCCTCCTCCTCCTCCTGCTAGTCATCGTCATCGTCAGCGTCATCGTCATCGTCATCGTCATCATCGTCATCATCATCAGCATCAGCATTCTCATCCTCAGCCTCAACCTCAACCTCAGCCTCGTCCACATCCTCATCCTCGTCGTCATGATCATCATCAGTATCATCGGCCTCGTCGTCGTCCTCCTCCTCCTCACCACCATCACCGCTACCATCGTCGCCACCACCATCATCACCTTCCCCACAGCAAGCCCTTCTCCTCCTCCCCTCGCAGGGCGTGCGGGCCCCAGGCCTCCCTGCCGCACCCTCGCCCGCAGAGGCACAGGCGGTGGATGCCCTCCCACTGCAGCAGGGGGAGCAGCTGCCGGGCCTGGGCGCGAGGGCCCCGGATCGCAGCAGCCGCGCGTCTCGCGATCGCCGCAGCGGGAGACGGCAGCGGCCGCGGTCGGTCGCCAACTGTGCGGCCACCCTCCTCGCACAACCATTCCTCCAACGCCTCCTCCTCCTCCTCCTCCTCCTCCTCCTCCTCCGTCTTGGTCCTCTTTCTGCTCATCGTCCTCTTTCTGCTCATCCCTCCTCCTCCTCCTGCTCCTCCTCCTCCTCCTCCATCGGGCTGGACGTTTCGCCTGAGACTTCCTCACACACCACTTTTGGCCCTGGTGGTTGAAGTTTGCAGCAGGTGCTCGGATGGAAGGCGAGTCGTTTTCATAGTGGGGCTCTCGCCTTGGCGCCGCACGCGCTCGTCCCAGAAGTTTGGAACAGTTGTGAGGATGGGGGGCGGCTCCTTCTCAACATGGGGCTCTCGCCATAGCATCGCGAACATGTGTCGTAAAAGTGTGCACCGCTACAAGGATAGAAGGCGGGTCGGTTTGTACATAGGGCTCTCGCCTCAGCGCCGCCCACGTTGCGTCTCAGGAGCGCGCAGTAGAGATCGATTCGTGTTCAGCATGGGGCTCTCGCATCAACGCCGCAAGCATTCGCTTCAAAAGCTTGGCACATGTACAAGGATGAAGGGCGCGCCGTTTTCAAAATGAGGCTATCGCCTCAGTGCCGCCCGCACATCCGTCTTGAACGTTAGGAACAATTACAAGGATGGTGGGCCAGTCGTTTTCGAAATCGGGCTATCGCCTAGGACTTCCCTAACGTTGACGACCAGACGGCTGAACAGATGTAGCAACTGCACGGATGCAGGGCGGGTCCGATCCTTTTGAAACTGGCTTGTAACCCGTACGAGCCAGAAATATGAAAGCGTGCGCGCCGATTGCACGGATCGCGGTGTCTGGTCAAACCGGAAGGCTCGCTGGACCCGACGCTGCACTGTGTGATCCTAGGGAGATTCGCATATCTCATAACACACTCGACGGATGCAGGGCAATTCCTCTTCGAAGCGAGGCTCTCACCTGAATGGCAGGCGCATGGGGCGCTGGTCTTCCAATGTGGCGTTCCATGCGGTGAAATGGGAGACTTGCAGGGACTCAGGAGAGGTCACTTGAGTTACGCGGGTTTATAACAGCATCGTTGTTGATGCATCTTGGGTGTCTATTGTCCCGCCCCTCGACGAGGGTAGAAAGTCGAGGCTCGATGTTTGCCCTTCCGTGTGTTTAGTGTTGTTTCGGCCCCGGGAGGTCACTGGAGAGCTACGGGGAGCTCCTGCGAAGACCTGTGGAGACACCCTCCTCCCTCCTCCTCTTCCTCCTCCTCCTCTTCCTCATCCCCCTTTTGTCTCCCGACTCCTCCTCTTCCACTTCCCTCTCTTCCTCGGTCTGCTTATCCTCCTCCTCCTCCTCCTCCTCGTCCACCGCCTCCTCAACCTTTTCCACCTCCTCGCCCTCCTCCTTCTCGGAAGAGAAACGAGATGAGGAAGAGGAGAAGGAGGAGGAGAAGGGAGGACGTGGAGGTCGAGGAGGATCGAGGCATGAGGCTTGAAGATGTTACAAGGTTGAAGCAGAATCACCTTCTGGAGAGCTCCACCAAGGACTTCCATGGACCTCAGGTCAGGGACATCCTGAGACACTGTGCTGCCTCGCCCGGGAAACATGATCACCACTACCACCATCGTCATCGTCGCCGTCACAATCGTGATCATCAGCATCACAACGATAGCATGTGCATTGTCGATATCATCATGGCGATCAGCATCGTCAGCATCATCATCATCGTCGTCGGAATCGTCATCGTCATCATCACCATCATCATCATCATAATCATCAACAGCAACATCAACATCGCCATCCTCATCACCATCATGATCGCTAGCATCATCAGAACCACCATAATCATCAGCAGCATTACCAACACCATCGTCATCGTCATCATACTCATCACCAACATCATTATCATCATCATCATCAACACAATCGTCGCCAGCATAACCATAATCACCTCCATTATCAACATGAGCATGACCCCCATCATCATCATCATCATCATCAGCACCAGTACCGACATCATCTGGATCATCATCATCATCATCATCATCATCACCGTCATCGACGACATGACTATGGCCAGCATCACAAGTATCCTCATGCTGACCCCGAGTAATATCAAACTCGCCATCACCATCCCTATACCATCATTATCCTCCTCACCGTCGTCCCTTTGCTACATCCTCCTCCTCTTGATATTCCCGCCTTCTCTCCCTCCGTCCTTGGCCTCCTTCCTTCCTCCTCATGCACTTCATCGCCCGTCTTGTCATCCTCCCCATCTTCCACTCCCCCGCCCGCCTCGTTCTCGATATTGTTCTCACTCTCGTGCTTTGCATGAAGATCGGAGGCTGCGACAGGACGAATATGCCAGGAAGAGACATTACACTCGTTCATCCTCGAGCATCGTCGTGCAAATGGATCACTGAAGCCCCGGAATATATTAGCGCGCAGGAACTTGGTCAGACAACTTGCATACAAGCGCGCGAACTGTCATCCAAACTAACGTGGATGCACATCGATTGCCATTGCGTGGCTTCTCATGAACATCTTAGTCGTTGGCATTGGTATCCGGGTGTTGAGTGACTGCCTGCGGTTACGTTGGTCAGGCGTTGCGCGTGAGGCTTATGCGCTAGTGCATTCGTGTGTGCGTGAGTTTGTATGTCGGCGGTGCCCGGTGCGGAGCGAAACCCGCCTCCTGGTAAACTCCATGGGGGTTTCGAGCCGGCGGTACCGCCGGCGCGAGCCGGCACGAACCCCCAGTTGGCAAGCACGAACCCCCCCGGTAGCCAGCATGAACCCCCCCGGTGAGCACGAACCCCCCCCCGGTATGCGCGAACCCCCCCGGCATGCACGAACCTCCACCCGGATGCGTGACCGCCCCCCGGGCGTGCCGGAACAAGGCGCCTTGTTCGACCCCTCCCGGGAGGCTCGGCACGACGTCCGGAGCGCGGTGCCGCGCGGCACCGCGCTTATGTACGCGGCCGTTCGACCCCTCCCGGGAGGCTCGGCACGACGTCCGGGGCAGGTGCACACCCGGGAGTTGCAGCTGCCTCCTGTTGCCACGTGCCCAGCAATGTCGACAACAGCGCTGCCACTTCCTCCTCCTCCTCCTCCTCCTCTCCTCCTCCTCTCCTCCTCCTCCTCCTCCTCCTCCTCCTCCTCCTCCTCCTCCTCCTCCTCCTCCTCCCCCCCAACCCACCCGCATTCCCGCCCTACCCCCACCCCCCATTCCCACCCCCCCACTCCCACAGGGGGGGGGGGTTCCCGATCGAGGCCCCCCGAGTGCGGCCTGCGCGAAACCCCCCGGTAAAGGGACAGGGGGGACGGGGTTCTGAGCCGTCGGCGGCACCAGGTGCGGCCTGCACGAAACCCCCGGTAGTACTGGGGGGGGTTCGTGCCACGGGGCACCGCCGACATGCATGCGTGTGCAGGTTGCGTCGGGGAGGCACGCGTGTGCTTGCATGCGTGCTGGTGTCTGCCTGCGTGTTTTCATGTGGACGGAATGGAGGTGGGGCGTACGGTGCGCGTGCCGAGTGTGTACTGGGCAGGCGGAATCCACCGACCGTCGGCGTGTGTGAGTGGGAGTCCTGCGGTGTTCACTCCTGGGCGGTCTGGGAGACGCCTTTCCATTCGAAGCTCTCCCCCCCATTCTCTGCGGTCACGTGGGGCCACTCAATCTCGCCAACCTGATGTGAAGCGACCCAGGCCGTAATCGAGTCGAGGGGGATCCATCCCTGTGACCCCTTCCCCGCCAGCGAGGCGGGACCCCTCCCTCCCTCCCTGGAGTGTATCGGGCGGTTTGGGGGCCATGGGGCCGTCTCTAGGCCACCTGGGCCCGCCGGGGCCCCCTCTTGGCCAACCTCGGCCAGCTTCGGCACGCTTCGGAATCTCGCGGGCCGTCGACGAGGCCCTGGGAGCCAACCCTTCGAGGCCAGGACCAGCGGAATCCCTTGGCGCTTGTGTTGTGCAAGAGAGCCCCAAGACGGCCCCAGAAGCCCCCGATACTGGCACAGCCCAGGAGGCCATTAAGAGTGACCCAAAAAGCGCACCACCGTCGCACCACTGGAAGCCAAGCCCTCCAACAGAATCCCAAGAACTCAAGGAGACCCACAAGAGGCCCCCAGCGGCTCTAAGACAAACCCAAGTGAGCCACAAAGCCTCGCAGGAGCCCCCCAAGACACCCCCCAAGAGCCCCAAAATGTCCTCAAGGCCTCTGAAACGCGACCCAAGCGCAGTGGCGCGATGGGCCGACGATTTGGTCCTCATTGAAGCCCCACTGCCCCTGAGGAAGCCAAAAGGTACCGATCCTGCTACTCCCTGGACCTCTCCTGGGTTGCGTTCGGACCAGAAATCCCAGGCGAATCCAGCGGTGGCCACGAGAACACTCCAGGAGCCCCCCAAAAGCGAAAACGAGGCAAGGGTAGCGGTATTGGTACCTTGTCAATCTCTGGGCCCCTGGCCTCCGTCCCCTTTCCGCCTCTTCCGCCCAAGCTGCTAGCCTCTGGAATCCGTCTTTTCCGCCCAAGCTGCTAGCCTCTGGGGGTCGGCGGAACCGACTGGGGAACCCCTGCAGCCTTCGCAGCAGCCTGCGGCGCCTCGAGAGGCACGAAGACCTCTAGCAAGGCTCGACATCCAGCAAAGCTTGTTGTGTCTTCGCCCCGCCTTTGCTGCAAAACGGAATCGAAACGAAAACGGTCCACGAAGTCGCCACAGCACCATTCAAGGTCGAGCCCTGATCCCCAGAGACAATGAACTGGCCGAAAACCGTTACCCTGGAAAGCGCCGACATTAGCATGGGGGAAACGGGTCCTGAGGGAAACGGCTCCTGGACCCTGGGGCCTTCCCCCAGGACGAATTCTTCATCCTGAATGCTTCTCTGACGGTCCCGAGGCCCGAGGAGGGCCCCGAGGGCCCGAAAACGGCGACAAACCTCAGGACCCGTTTCCCTGAGGACCCGCTCTCCCCCTGGCGAAACTACCGCCGACCCCAGCGTGCCGAAGCTGGAGTTCGGCCGGAGCCCCTCCGCGGGCGCCCGCGCGCGTGGTGCCCTCCCCCGGGCTGCCCGCGCCCGTTTGGCGGCGCGCACAGCTGTGGGCGGGGCGCGGAGGGGGGGGGGCCTTCCAAGAAGGCACGGGGCACCATATGGCCGATTCCAGCCAAGGCAGTGGAACCTCAGTGCTCGGCCCCTGGACGAGGGAGGAACCGAATCGAGGAGCGTCCCCCCTTTAGAACCAGGGGGCCCAGGATCGCCCCACGAGGGCAGAAGGCTCCAAGGCACCCTGCAGAGGGCCGCGTGCCGGCCCAAACGAGCCCCAAGAGGGCCCCGAGAAGTCCCGAGGGGACCCCGGGACCCCGGGACCCAACGACCCTGGCCAGCTCTTGCGAGGCCGATCCTTACTTCCGCCAGAGCTTCCGCCAGTCTTCCGCCGGCAGACCTTCCGCCAGCCTTCCGCCAGCCTTCCGCCAGCCTTCCGCCGGCGGAGGTGGCCTAGTTATACTTCCGCCACCTTCCGCAAAGACGTCATCAAGGGAAGAGGGCGAGTAGTATTCATATTGAGTAATTGTGGAGGAGGAGGAGGAGGAGGAGGAGGAGGAGGAGGAGGAGGAGGAGGAGGAGGGGGAGGAGAACGAGCAGGAGGAGGAGGAGGAGGAGAGACGATAAATCCTTCGGCCCTCGAAGGCGAGGCCCTCTCTGGGACGCCCCTTGCAGCTCAAGGAGTCCGGAACTCACGGGAAGGCCAGCTGGAACGCAAGGGGCTTCGAAGAAGCCTCCAGCCTTCTCAGAAGGCCGCCCCACTCGCGCGACCCCCTCGCTGCGCGCCGTCTACGCCACACTTGTTCCATGAAGTGAGCCCCCGGGCATCTCGACCCCTTACCCCATGCCGGTGTTGCACGGCAAGCAAGTGTTGGACGGTCCCTAGGACACGGCACGCCCTACCCGGGCCGAAGACGTGCGGAGACTGCCGTCACAGCCTGCAGGCAACCACGGAAACAACAGGAACTTTCGGAGATGCGCGCGGATTTCTTGGGTCGGCGCCGGAGCCCCGCCCGGAACGGCGCCAGAGGCGACGCCAAGTGGAGTCCAGCGCCGACTGAAGAAATCAACCCATCAAGACCTCCGAACGTCTATGCCCGTGCGCCTGTGTCTTCTCGGATTTTCGGAGAGAGAGGGGGGGGGCGCTAAGACCTTAGATGGTTAAACAAACGCTCGACGTGCTTTCCGTTCTGGGGTCCGTCATTTCCGTTTCCGGATGGTTGTCTTGCCATAAGGTATGTGCGAGCTGCCGTTCTTGCGTATTGGGCTGCCGTGTTGGCCGAAAACTGAAAACTTGAAAATGGAAAAGCAGAGTCAAGAACCTGTGAAGCTAAGAAGATGGACTTCACTCCATGCGTTTTTCTTTGAACAGCAGTCCAGGCCCGCAGATACAAAATGTTATGAATAAAACGAAAAGGTGCCCAGGATCCAGTCCAGTTTCTTGATTTATGCAGCGAAAGCTGGGACCCATGACAGTTGATATTTTGTTTCCCACTATGATGGATGTAGATGGAGTCGGAGGTTCTCGCCGCATCGCCGATGTATCGGCGATGCGTCGGCGGCGCATCGGCGACGCCAGCGCAGAGAACGTCGGGCTCTACGTCGAGCCGCATGGCGATGCATCGGCGATGCGGCGCCATCCTCCGACCCAATCTACTCGGACCCCATCGGGGAGGCCTAGATTTGGCACGCCCTAAATGGGTACAGAGAAGATGAGTACGATGCGCAACAGCATAGGTTGTGTAAAACCAACAGCGGCCACTGTTGGGCAGGCGGCCTTCTGTCTCGTGTAGACAACGTCCGCGTGACACAGACAGCAAAACCCGTACAACATAGACAAGCGGTGCTGACGGCACTTCGGAAAAACCCATTCTCTCCGTGCCTATGTCGATCGTCCAGACCCGTGCTGCAGACCCCCGGTGCTCTTCGAGAGATGGGGCCACTCAGGGCCTGACCAGGCCCTCCAGCAAGGTAGCCGACGACGACGACGAAGACGAGGACGATAAGTATGACGACGACGACGACAACGACGAGGCCGGCGACGACGACGAGTACGAAGACGACGAGGCCGACGACAATCATGAGCCCTGTTCTGTACACCTATTTTGGTCACCCCCTATTACAAGCCACCCAAATCTTTCGAACCTAAGCCGCGTCGGCCTCGTCGTCGTCATCGTCGTCGTCGGCGGCGGCGTTGTCGAACTCGTAGATCTCGTCGTCGTCGTCGTCGTCGCCCTCGTCCTCGTCCTCGTCGTCGTCGTTGCCTCGCCGTCGTCGTCGTCGTCTTTGTTGTCGTTATCGTCGTCGTTGTCGTCGTCGACAGCCTCGCCGTCGACGTCGTCGTCTTTGTTGTCGTTATCGTCGTCGTTGTCGTCGTCGACAGCCTCGTCGTCGACGGCCTCGTCGTCCGCGTCGTCGTCGTCTTCTGTCGTCGTCGTCGTCGGCCTCGTCTTCCTTGTCGTCGTCACCGTCATCGTCGTCGTCGTCGTCGCCGGCCTCGTCAACCTGGTCGTCATCCTCGACGTCGTCGGCGTCGTCGGTCTCGTCGTCGTCGCCGTCGTCGTCGTCGTCGTAGACTTCGCCGTCGTTCTCGCCGTTGTCGTCGTCGTCGGCCTCGTCGTCGTACTAGTCGTCGTCGTCGTCGCCGTCCTCGTCGTCGTCGGAGTCGTCGGCCTCGTCGTCGACGTCGGCCTCGCCGTCGGCCTCGTCCTCGTCGTCGTCGTCGGCCTCGTCGTGCTAGTAGTCGTCGTCGTCGTTGTCGTCGTCGTTGTCGACGTCGTCGTCGTCCTCGTCGTCGTCATCGTCGTCGGCCTCTTCGTCGTCGTCGACGGCCTCGGCGTCGTCGTCGTCGTTACAGTCGTCGTCGGTCTCCTCGTCCTAGTCGTCGTCGGCCTCGTCGTCCCAGTCGTCGTCGTCGTCGTCGTCGTCGCAGTCGTCTGCGTTGGCCATAACACCCCCCCATTAAAATCCACTAGAAAATTTCGAATCTCAGCCTCGTCGGCTTCGTCGTCGTCGTCGTCCTCGTCGTTCTCGTCGTCGTCGTCGTCGGCGGCGACATCGCCGTCGTCTTCGTCGTCGTCGTTTCGGTCGTCGTCGTCGTAGTCGTGGGCCTCGTCGTCGTCGCCGTCTTCTTCGTCGTCGTCGTCACCGTTGTCGGCCTCGTCGTCGGCCTCGTCGTGCGCCTCGTCGCCCTCGTCGATGTCGTCGTTGTCGGCCTCGTCGTCGTCCTCGTCGTCGTCGTCGTTGTCGGCCTCGTCGGCCTCGTCGATGTCGTCGTCGGCCTCGTCGTCGTCCTCTTCGTCGTCGTCGTCCTCATGGTGATGTCGTCGTCGTCGAGTCGTGGTTGTCATCGTCGGCCTCGTCGTCCCAGTCGTCGCCGGCCTCGTCCTCCTTCCTCGTCGTCGTCGTCGTCCTCGTCGTCGTCGTCTTCGTCCTCGTCGTCCTTAGGGCGTCGGCCACACGCCCGAGAGCTTGGGCCGCTCAGGGCCCGGCCAGGCCCTCCAGCGAGGCGGCCGGCCTCGCCCCGTCGGCCGCGGCGGCCGCGGCCGCGGCGCCCGCCATGGCGCCGTCGCCGGCCGGCGGGGCGCCCGCCGCCGGCCGGCCCGCGGGTGGCGCGGCTCCGCGGGCGGCGTGCCCCGCGGGCTCGGGCGAGGGGAGAGGCGGACCTCGGGAGGAGGGGGAGGGAGAGGGGGAGGGGGAGGGGGAGAGGAGGAGGAGGAGGAGGAGGAGAGGAGGAGGAGGAGGAGGAGGAGGAGGAGGGAGGAGGAGGAGGAGGAGGAGGAGGAGGAGAAGGCGAAGGAGGAGGGGGAGCGATCGGCGTCGTCGTCGGCAACGTCGTCGGCGACGTCCGTTGTCGTCGTCGTCGTCGCCGTCGCCGTCGTCGTCGTCGTCGTCGAACCTCGAACTGGTAAAGCCTCGCACTGGTGCACGCCACCATCCAGTGCCTCGTGGCAGAGGCGCGTGGCGAGGTGGCCCCCGCCGAGTCAGAGCGACGGACCTTGGGAGGAGAGAGCAAGGATCGTAGGTGGCGGCATGAGGCCGTTGTTTTTCAGATTCCGGCGAGTTCACTCGCATGGAAGGGAGACGGGGGGGTCGTGGCGAGGCCCAATGACAATCTGGACGTCACGCAAGCCAGGACTTACTGGCGCTTCTGCTCGGCCCAGCACTGCTTGAAAAGGCGGCGGAGAGGGGGGGAGAGGGGGGGAGGGACATGCCCTGCAAATAAACTTGCCTGAGTCACAAGAACAAGCGCCCTTCATCCGAACCCTGCCTCCGCCTCCCATCAACGATCCTGAATCGATGGGGGGCGGAGGTAGGGCTCGGATCTCGCAGGGTGCTCGGCGAAGTCCGAGCCCTAGCCCCGCCAACCATCGACTTGCCTGAGTCTTGGGTCGGCAAGGGTTGGGCTCGGCTTCCGCCGCCGAGGTCTGGCGCACGCTCCCATGGATCAGGGCAGGGCTGAACCTAAACGGTGTTTTTCGTTGTCGTTTTGTTTTCGTTTTCCCTCGTTTTGTCTTCAATCCACCTCTACCGCGAAACGAAATCGAAACGAAAACGGCCCACGAAATCGCCAAAACACCGTTTAGGTCCAGCCCTGGATCAGGGATCTCTGGAGCTGGCGCGTCGGCGCCAGATCCACGGATCGGGGCAGGTCACCCTTGAACGTGAGGCCGATGCCGCCTCATGGCGACGGAGCGAGTCGACTCCGCATTGGATCGGGACCCGTCGCTAATCCGCGCGCCTTGATCCAATTTTTCCCCGCTTCCTCGAGAGGGGCAGGGGCCGACCCGGTGCTGATCTGAGAGCTTGGCTGCCCCGATACGCAACACGCAACACGTAGCGTACTAATACGGAGCTCAGCACGTAGACTGAACGCGCACGTTGTGGGCAAGGACGTTTCGAACGCGGCACGCGTTACGTTTCAAAACGTGCGCATCAGAGCAGCCAAGCCTCAGAGCGGTGTTTCTCACCCTCCCCCAGCGGATGTCGGGCGCGGGGGCGCCGCGTCGCATGGTCTCGCGCGGTTTGGGCGTGGCTTAACGGGGGGGTCATAAATGGGGGGGTCAGAAACGGTCCCCTTTCGTGCCCCTTTCGGGCCCCTCCGGAGCGCCAGGGGGCTCGTTTAGGTACCGTTTGGGTACCTTTTCGGACCACTCTCGCCACCCCCCCATGTATGACCCCCCCATTACGCAACGCCCAAGCGGTGGAGGCCCTGTGGGCTCCGGGAGAGGTCTGCGGACAGGCCGTGCGGTGGCCACGAGGAGTCCCGAGGGACCTCACCGCACGGCCCGCAGCCGCACGCCCCCGGGTGCCCTGGACTCTCTGGAGGCCCCCGGGTGCCCGAGGCATCCTCGGAGGACCGCCCCGGCCCCGGAACGGCCCCCTGATGGTCCGCTACCGAAAATTTCCGGTAGCGCTCCGCAGAGATCAGTCGCTACCGAAATACCGAAATGTAGCGCCCAATACCGGTATCAGACCGTTCTGAAATCCGCTATTTCAACGCCCTCAAACGAAGATCCGGTCGCTACCGAAATTCGGGGTGCGTCGAAATCGCTACCGAAAATTGCCGGTACCAGACCATCTGGGCCTGCTCACCCCGGATCATCTCTGACTCACCCGACGGCGATCTCACCCCGCCGACAGGGGAACTCCGAGGGCCACTTGGGGCCTCCAGGGGAGCCCGCGTCGCCCCAGCTGGCGTCGCCTCGAAGTCCTCGTCAGGGCGCGCCTCAGGACGGGTTCGCGGGGGGTGGGTATTGAAGCGGGGAGCGGACAGTCGGCCCAGATTAGTAGGTCGACCCTGCCAAATCAAGGGTACCCTTGTGTCCTGTGTCTCGCGACCCATGCTTCCCACATTCCAGCGGCAATGTGGCCCTCGGAAGGGTCTTGTGTCCTCTCGCGTGTCCTGTCCAATCAAGTCCGATGATAGGGTTACTGGGGGGGCAGAGAGGTCGAGGGCTGGGCAGGTGGAGGTGGAGGGATCAGCAGAGCCTCGCCGAAGCGAAGGCTGTATTGAAGGGGCCCAGGCACACACAAATGAATACACACAAATAACAGGATTCCCCGTACTTCCCATACTGTCTGGGTTTTTGTCTTCCCCCCCACTTCCCATGCTTTCCCATATTTTCTGGGGAGTCGACGATTATTTGTGTCTGTGTGTTTCTTTCCCTCCTGATGCATGTTCGACCACTGACCCCTTGTTACCCACAAACCCTCGGCAAGAATGAATAGTGGACTGAAACACGCCAGGGGAAGCAAAGAGAGGAAAGGCAAGACGCCAGAGGATGACCCGGAACTGGCAGTCCAACGAGATGAGGCTCCTGAAAACGGGGCGCCTGAGATCGTCACGAACAGTCCTACGCAGTCTCGAAAGGAGGGCCCATGGCCCCTATCACTGCCCTAACGACAGGCCACGGCCATCCACAGCACCCGCAACGCCAGTCCCACAGACTCTGATTTCGTCGGCCCCGCCAATGTATGACTGCATGTCACTCGTGTTGACAGGCTTTGCTCGGAAGGTTCTCGGCCAGCGCTCCTCAAAAAAGTTTGCCATGGCTCTATCATTTATCATAATTTATCATCCGCCCCTTCCTCTGACTCGCCGCCCCCCAGACTACTGCTATGGGTTCGCCCACAGTTTGCGAGTAGCTTCTGGTAAAGCTTACATCGAAAAGCAAACATTCATAGCTCGATCGGGCCCGCCTTGAGCAAGCGTAGCGCAGGCTCGAATGTACGGCAGCGGCGACAGCAACGGCGACGGCGACGGCGACGACGACGGCGACGACGACAGTGGCGGAGGCGGCGGCGGCGGCGGCGGCGACGACGACGACGACGCCGCCGACGGCGACGACGACGACGAGTGGCGGCGGCGAGCACGACGCCGCGGCAGGCACCTCCTCACCCTCCTCATCCTCCTCACCCTCCTCCTGCTCCTTCCTCCTCCTCCTCCTCCTCCTCCTCCTCTTTCTCCTCCTCCTCCTCCTCCTCCTTCGCCTCCTCCTCCTCCTCCTCCTCCTCCTCCATCCTGCTCCTCCTCCTCCTCCTCCTCCTCCTCCTCCTCCTCCTCCTCCTCCTCCGCTGGGGAAACCGAAAGGTACCCATACCGCTACTCCCAGGGACTTCCAGGGAGCGGCTTGACCAGAATTTCGAACCGGATCCAGCAGTGGCAACGAGGGCTTCCCAGAAGGCAGAACAAGGCGAAACCGAGGCGAGGGGTAGCAGAATGGGTACATATTCCTCATATGCTCCTTCTCCTCCTCCTCCTCCGCCCCCTCCGCCTCCGCCTCCTCCTCCTCATCCTCCTCCTCCGCCTCCTCCTCCTCCTCTGCCTCTTCCTCTTCCTCCTAGCCGTTCTGGCAGAAGTGTGCTTGATACTGCTAACTTCAGAACGGCATTGCAGTATCGGGTCAATCTGGCTCGTCTCGCTTTGGGTTACCTCCGTCCTCCTGATCCTCAATGGGGAAAAACCATGGCTGGATCTACAATCCGTGGGTCAAGTTCGGCACGAAATGGTCTAAAAGTTCTCATAGTGGTGATTGAGACAGCAGCCGCAGGGCCCAGGCTTGGAGGCTCTCGCGCGGGCACGCCGCCTCCTGCAGTCGGTGGCTCCTCTCCGCTGGCGCCTGGGCCTGTACCTGACATCGCGGTGGACAAGACCGAGGAGTTGGCTCGCCTGTGCGCGGTGTGCGGTGACAGAGAAGGAGAACGACGGTACAGTGCCATTGTCTCGGGAAGACGCCCAGAGCTGCGCCTGCGTCCCTTGCTCGCAGAGATTGCAGCAGGTGGGGGCTCAGGTGCATCAGGACGAGAAGAGGCTCGAGGCGGAATACACCAAGTACCTCAAGTGGATCAGCGGCATCGAGGAACAGGCCAAGTTGGTGGCCGACTTGCGTCAGGAGCTCCAGACGGCCTCTGAGCTGTTCCAGTCCACGTTGGCGGAGGTGCAGGCCTCGCAGCCGACGGTGGTGGAGCAGCCGAAAGCTGAGTTGCGCAAGCTTGTCGATGGATCGTTCAACATGTCGGATTGCTTCGATTTCTCCACTTTCCTGGGCAATGCGGATGAGCACGAGCTCAACCCTGAGGAGCAGGCTGAGTTCGATAAGCGCCAGCTGGAGTTGGCCAACTTGTTCAAGAAGGGTACCACGGAGTTGTTCGGAGACGCCATGGATAAAGCCGATGCTATGCGCCATGCTGCTGCAGAAAAGGCGAAGCGTTGGTCGAAGAAGCGTAAGGATAATGCTGGTCATGGTGTTGCTACAGGGGCTGGTACTCCTGCTCCTTCCGCTCCTCCTGTCGGGGGTGGTGCTGCTCCTGAGGGACCGCAGCGCAAGGAGATTACCAAGGCCAGTGCCGAGTCGCTCTTGGAGAAGATGCAGCAGGACGAGCGCTTGGCAGGTCACATGGCTGCTCTCGCTCGTCGCCATCAGCCAGGGCTTTGACGTCGGCAACCACCATGAGGGCATGCACAGCATATGTGGATTTTCATCGGGGGGGCACATACCCGAAGAGCCCATACGGGTGGCGATGAGCCTTAAATCGTCGGAGCGCGCCCCCCCCCCCCCCCCCGGAGCTCAACGAGGTCTACG